CTGCTGATCTTGCATTTCAGGTTCGAAACTGGTGAAAAATCAGAAACGAGAAACGCCATCCAACAGCTTCATGACAGGAAGAGACGTGGAGAAAAAGGTTGAAGATAGACAACGTTTCCAGGTTTTGATGCCGGAGATTAGAAAGAAAACCTCGCTTAGAGGGTCTGAGAGGATCCCTAAGAACAATCGAAGACGCTCTTCCTCTTCAGTGATGATGGCCCGAGGAAGCAACGATGAGCTTCTGAGGTACCTCCCTTGATCCAATCGGGACATTGGTTTCTAGGCGATCTGGGCTGCGGAAATCAGGTTGCTCAGATCCAAACTAGCGAACAGGACCGAGTATGAACAGGTGCTCCTTGGAACCCTGGAGTAAGTAGATCGAGTTGCAGCTTCCTCCATTGATGCCTAGCCTAACGGTTAACGTCAGTGTTCATAGCATTAATAAAATTAACAGTCAGATCCATGGTTATGGCCAAAATGGAAAGGAGTACCGACTCAGCCTAGACTGTAATTAATCGTGATACGAAATTTTACCTCTATTCAGCAATATCAATGAGAGGGTTGAAACTGGTGGATCGGGTAGAAATGCCAACGGAAGCTGCCATCATTCAACGCGGTTCTGTACCATCTTGCGTCCACGCAATTCATATTCCCTGGAACCCCAATATTAGTCATTCAGGTGGATCCTAGCTGCAACTTTTATCTCTTCTACGAAGTACTTGCTGCCGCCTTCACGGAAGCTTATCTCCGCGCTCGAAGCCCCTCCGAATGCAAACCTCACCTGAAGTTTGCATTGCCAAAGGGTGAAACTGATAGTATATGTCACACACAACCTCAGACTACAATCACGCATCTGCAGGGAATCATTTCCATCGGATGGTGGTGTTTGTTTCACTTTGTTACAATCGCTGCTGCGGTGGGAGGAATGAACGGCTATCGACAGGGTTCCGCTAAGTCTGTTTTTCAATCATTTTTTACCTTCGTTTTCCAAGGTTACTCCCCAAGACCTTCGCGTGGGCAATTCTGTATCTGGCAACCCAGACTACATTTGCATATATATTGGACATCAAGAGTGATCTCAGCGGTAGGTTGCTCCATGCCTAATGAAAGACTGGCATACAGAACTTGAGTATGAGCAGTTATTAATACTTAGTAAGTGAACTCCGGCAGCAATAAGAATTTGCCTCCAAATATAACTTTTTCTCAAAGACTGCTTAATGAAACGAAAACCTGTAAGACTCAAAGGAATAATTTTTGAACTCGACTGAAAATACAAGGTGATTCAAGCGTCAGTTGTCCTGGTTGTGCTTATGCAAGTGAGAGTTTGCAGTTGGCCCGTCATTCCAATAATCCAACATCGACCATCGACTTAGAGAGGCGATTCCCTATCGATTTGTTGTTCGCATGAAAAATCGAAGCTTGTTTCATGGGAGCTGTGGTTTTATCTCGCGCCAAGGTCTGTTTTAGCTGATCCACAGTTCCCCTATTTCCTCAACAAGGAGAGCCGAGAACTGGTTTTATGGAAAAGAGAAGCTGGAAGTGGTGAACAAGTTGGGGTAGTGTTCACCTTTAATGGAAAATGGACTAATCAGTTCCAGAACGCGACTCTGAAAGGCAACAAAGCGGCGAATGTCTTGAGATCTTTCTTCACGAAATACCCTATTACTCGTAGCAGCCTGGCAGGAAAACTGACGCATTGGTGAGTAGTGGAATGCTTAATGGGGCAGAACTTTGGGGCGTTGAGAGAAATGAGGGAATAGAAACAGAGTGCAAACAGAGTTTTTGAAGAGCACCACTGGGGCAGGGAAGGGAACGTCAAGCGATGCAATTCTTTTGGATCACGGAAGAGTGGAAATGGTTTACATACAGTGACATAGACTTGTAAAATATTGGACGAAACTGAGAGAAGATTTGCATCCAATTATCAAAAAATTCTTTTGGTTTCAGTTAAGGTGAACCCAATAAGGACAAAAGTGCTGGGTCGTATATGTCAAGTCGACTCTAGATCAATCAGGTTTCTCATATATTTGGCATGTAGGTCCAGGAGGGGACTTTTTAAACATTTTTAGGAAGTTTAGTAGAAGATGCATAGATATGGGCTTCCAGAGACTGACAGCGAGAACAGAGCAGAAGACCACGTTAAGCTTCTACCAGAAGGTGAAGAGGACCTGCAGTCCTGAAGAATACCTGGAAAAAAGTAGACATCTTAGTAGACCCATGGCTGTTCTGAGAATGGGCCTTTGGAGGTGGCAATCCAGAAAGCTTGGCAATGAGGGAAAGACGTCGATATGCCCATCATGAGCAAGAGAAGAGAGTGAAACACACATTAGCGGAATGTGAGGAATATATAAATAAGTATTTATCGGAGAGTTGCAGGAATTGGGGCATGAATGAATTAGATTGAAAAAAGGACAAGAAAATAATTATCATATTTGAAATGTGCGTGGGAAAGTAACCTTCAGCAGAAGGAAACATGTAATTACAATGTGCCGGTAGATCCCAAGTGCGACTTTTAATAATGATTTGGAACGCGCTGTATTGTTTGGTAGCGCAATAAAGAATATGTTTTTTTTTTTTTTTTTTTTTCTCCACAACCCCAATCGAGGCTAGAGGTGCCATGGAAAATGTTAACATGCGGCAATCCAAAGAAGGTTTTTAAACTGCTGTAATAGGGTCTGCCGCACAGAGCTGCGATGTGGACGGTGCACAGTCAGGGACGTCATTTGGCAAAATTGCAAGGGGGGGGAAAAACTCTAGGAAACTTGAAAATATGCTCTTCAATAAATTTTTAGCGCTTGTTTTAATTTCGCGAATTTAACAACGCACAATGAATTGCGAAATCAAGTTTCTCGTGAATTTGCATTCCGAATGCGCTAATGGCCAAATCATGGGAGTGGTCCAGTTCTTGAAATTCAACATTCATGAAACCATAAAAAGCCAAATTTTTTTTTTCGCGGAATTAAATCGGCACCACAAACCTTCGTTCCACTGTAATATAAAGTTTCCAACAAGAAGAATACTTTTGAATGAATGAAACTACACCCATGGTTATAATCAGAAGCATGGCATTTCTCAAATGGAAGTCCATGAGACATAAAGCAAAATTCACAGTTCAGGTTTAGGCTGCAAAGCCAATTGTTTTAATTTCCACGAAACCAAAGGAGTTTACGGCAGCAGCGGGTAGCGACGAATTTTCTTTTTAGCGAATTCATTAATCACTTCGTCCATGTTTACTCCCTTCACATCTTCTTTTAGAACTGCCAACAACAAAAGATCACTCAGCCCCCGCAGCGAGACCGTAACTTTTTACTCTCTTCATGGTGGAAAACAGTCTCATTTTGAGCGGTTGTCACAGGCAGAGTTAACACGAGGTCAATTAGTTTTAAGACCTCAGCATACGCAGCCGGAAGCATCGAGAGCGCATCTCTGAGCTCATGAATGCTTGCTGGCTTTCAGCTTTCCAGGTACATTTTTGCAGTTGCAACTTGCGCACCCAAGATGAGAGAATCGATTTTGCACTTTGGGTAGTGATGGAGCAGGATGCAAGCATTTTCTTCATTTAAGAAGTTTGGCGATCGTGGATCAAAGACAGAAAGGGCTCCTAATATTTCGCTGTTTTGCTCAAACCTCCTATCTATCTCTGCAACAAATGAATGAAGCAAATGTTTATCCGAGACCTAGAATAAAAGCATGACTAACGAGAGAGCCATATTATTAAATTTTCGGCAAAATTTTTAAGCAATATGGGGTGCCTCCAAGAAGACTGACAAATTTGAAATATGATACGAATTCTTGTATGCTGAATTTCCGCATTTTTATTGGTTATACTGTACTTCAAGGCTTGGAATGTAGTCTGCCACGGACGAAAATTGTGGAACTGTTTTTCACAACGGGTTTCATTGTGAACTTGCAGGGTGGGGGGGGGGAGCCTTAAGGCGCGAGGATACAACTGTCCGTGGAGGATATTTGGAAAACATCATTTTCAAAAATGGAATGATTGAAAATAAAAAAATATTACTTGCCCCACAAATAACCAATGTCCGTGCTATCTAATGTACGCGTTATCTGTATTATTTATCGACAAATAGTTATACCACACTGAAATAAAATGTGTCAGTCTTCTCTGAGACACCCTGTGTTATCAAGACTTTGCGGTCTGATCATTAGGTTCAGATGTCTGAATGCATTTTGCATTAGCCAATTCCGAGCTATGTAGTCGAAAGTTTATAGGCCCCTGAGATAAGCTTATCAAACGTCAAGGAGCCCATTCACTTCACAACACGAAAAAATTTTCAGATAGAGCCGAACCACCGACACTGGGCTAGACCAACTTGAAGTGATGACTGTTACAGAGCACTATGGGAAATAGCTGGGCAGTAGTTCCAACGCGTCCCACAAGGTTAACAAAGACAAGCACTAAGGGGCTTGGGGGAACTTTCACCTGGAATTCCCCGAATTTCATCCTTGAGCCTCATTGCTTTTCCCCGAATATCCTCCTATCTTGCTTGCGGAGGAGTCCTTTCCAATGAGCTTATGATAAAAATCAGGATTTATCTTCTTTTCCCTTCTCTCAAGTTGTCGGTCGAAAAAATAAAGTCGGCAAAAAAAAAAAAAATCACTTCAAGACACAAGGGGGGGGCAATTGCCCCCCCTTGCCCCCCCTAAATGACGTCCCTGTGCACAGTTCGAGCTCCTTCGCCAGCGTGGGAAGGGTACCGGTCAAGCGACTTGTATTGCAAGCAACAACAGGCCTCTCGAAACGGGGAACATTATTGCTGTGGCCGGCTGACCGCGCTCTCTGTGGAAGTGTGACGTAACTATGTGAGGTAGACCCTAGGGACATCTGGACTGCACAGAGGCAAGCTGAAAGCACAGAGAGAGAAACATGGCGCACTCCATGTAATTATTTGCCCCGTGGTTTGCCCATCGTTAGATAAACCGAAGTAGGTACCACCTCTTGATTCTCCAGGTCACCAGCGAGGCTAGCGTGTCGATTCGCAATGTCGTGTGAAGATGACAGCTCATGGTATGTTGGAGTATTTTTTTGGGACGACTTTAATGATTACAAAGGCATCCGCCCATGGGAACTAGGTTAGTTTTATTTCTGGGCCGAGGCTAGGCTCATTATAAAATAAAGGATGTTCTTGAACCTATTCAATGCAGCTTTTTATTATTGATTCAATGGCTCGATGAGCAAAATCTCACGTTTTGTCGGATGTGAGGGATTGTAGGCCTAGATCCATGGAAGCATATGAAAACTGTCTGCACTTCATGGGCCCTTGTATGTTGGGTCAATCCGGATACACTATAGACGTAATTCAATAATGACGATGGTGGCATAATTTCAACCTAACATTTGACTCAGACACCTTCAACTAGGGTACGATTAAACCTAGATTAAACCTATCCTTGGCCAATGAGTATATCAAGAACTGGTGGATTTATGTGGTTTCTGCAGGATCCTTGAGCTGGAAACAGCTCTCTCAGATGAATGCTCACCGCATATGTTGAGGAACATCTGCAAAGGAAGATGTTTCCCAGATAATCTGAGGTCTGAAGCATGGCGCATTTGTCTCCGGATTGATGAAGACTTGTCTGATGATGATGGAGCACTTGATGAAATATTTGATCTACCTGAGCAGGAGATGATTCGCAATGACTGCCAGAAAGTGGTTGGTGAGTATATGGCCCATAGTTTTTTGGTTTGAGACTTTGGGCTCAAGCATTTTGCACCCTCAGAGTACCATGGGTTCAGATGAAAGCTTAGTGACATTTCAACTATATATTTTCTTGCCTGTTATAGATTGAAGGCAGGATTACCTAAAAAATTATGTAGTAATATGTTGTAATTGGTTATCTATAATGTGTAGGAACCACCTTTTGCCCCATTTTTACAGAGTTTGAAGGATATAAAATTCCCATGAAATCAATTCTCTATTGCAAATACACAGGGTGGCCCAAAAATCATGTGCCTTCGGGGATTTCACTGTTGGACTATATTAATTATTTTTTTCTTTCTTTCCAGGTAAATGATGTCTGCCAAATTAACAATTGATGAGAGGGTGTAATTAATAATAATAAAGGGAATAATTATAATATTTATTATCATTACTATTATTATAATAAGAATTGATATAGTCCAATTTCGAAACCCCCTACAGGGCATGCCTTTGTATAAATAAATGCTAGTATCAAGAATAATCCTTGTTTAATATTTTAAGTTTATTATGGAAATAGAACATGATTGCTCTCAAATTATTTTTTAATATTTGAATCTTGGTCATGAAGGCATATGAATATTTTTTTGCCCCTTTGCTTGACCTTGTTGACCTGGACTTCATACATGATCTCACCACCTGACACAGGCTCTAACTTGAAGGGACATAGACATTTTAACCTCTGTAATATCTTGATCCCATAGGAAGACTCAATATGGCTCAAATGAGTATGTCTGGAATTGTGCTACTCTAGCACAGCCTACATTGCTGGAGTATTTTAACATTTGACATGTAGAGTGTATTTCTTGATATAGCTACTATGGAGCTGCTCAAGAGAGATGCCTGTTCACCAGTTTTCTCTCCTGTGCTGCTCCAGAAGGGAGTGAACCAATCAAAGGTGTAGCTCAATCAGAGATTGTTTCATATACCTGAGTCTGATCACCACTGGGAAAAATATCATAACCATGGTGAGTCCATCTGGAGATCTACAATCAACATGTGCTCCACATGGAATGTATGAGTTAGGGCATGGAAGCTAAAGGTTGCACCTTACATGGAAAGAGTTGATTGAACCAATCTCATTTATATCTCACTATCATGATAACCCCACAGGCTATTTCCTTGTACTCTGTGTAGTATTTGCACTGCCATATATAAACTGTCATAGCTTTGCAATCTGTTGTTTGATTTTGGTACTCTTTGGACCTTTATGCAGAGCATGTTCAGAAATATACAGCAGCACTATTCTGAACAGGATAGCTGTTGTGACTATGTAACTGAAGAAAAGTCATGAGTTAAATGTACACTTGTCTTATGCCAGGGTATTTAAAAACTGAGTGCTTGAGGGGTTTATTGGGATAGAGTTAGCAAACTGCTAAAGGGCCTGGAATCAGTATTCATGTACGAGGGGTTTCTCAAAAGTTCTGCCAGTAGCCCCAAAGTAGCACTTTGTGGCTGCCTCCGATGACGACTTGTGGGCTACTGGCAGAACCTTTGAGAAATCCTTCATATGTCCCTTTTGTGACATGCTTTCAGATGGTTTGGCATTTATTTTTTTCATTCTTGAAGTGAAGAAGAGATGGAAGAATTGATAAAAAGTAAAGGTGGATTATTGATCGGTCAATTAAAAACATGTCAATTGACTGGTCCATTATTGTCAATCATGGTCAATAAAGCCAACTTTTATTTAGTTTTTTTTTTCCTGTACAGTTTGTGCTCCATTTGTGTTATGACTCACAAGTGATAGACTAGGCATGGGAAGTTGACTTGAATTGTTGGAAATCGCTGATGGAAATGTTCACCCCTTGAAAAAAGGAATCAAATTTAAAAGTCTGCCTGGAATTCCTTTAGTTTAGTTTTGTACTCCAGGAGAAAGACCAGAAAGACCTGAAGGATCATGACCCTTTTTCTAGTACAAATAATTGATAGATGAATAAAAGTGTTCCATAATTTTTTTATTGCTGATTGTAGTGGATAAAAAAAACTCACATGACCTGTCACGCCCCCCTGGGACCCTCTCGCTTACCCTAGGGGTTGTTCCCCCCAGTTTGAGAACCCCTGCATTACACAGTAACTCCATGTTAGGTACAAGTCACACTAAACATCGTCTCTCTCTGAATTATTTAATATATATTTTTTATTTATTAAAGTTTGTATGCATTTATTTTAGACACCCTATACATGTGTATAGTTGTAGTGCATTGAGTGATCCATCTAATTTCCAAGGAAAATTTGGTTTTTGGACATTTTGTTTTCTAAAAATGCATTTAAAATATAATTGATTTAATTCCTCTGTTTTAAGTGAACCTATGAGAGTGGAATATGGTTTTATGAACTGGAAATGTTGCTGATTCTTTCACTGCAGCCAAGAACACCATCAAGGACCTCATGGGATGCAAATTAGTTTATTTTGTTTCAATGTGCAACAGAATGAAATAAGCCACCTGTTATACTCTAACATGTTTCCCTTCTCCTATCCCCCAGAGAGATTAGAAAATGATGAAGAGGACAAGGTAGCTGTGATGTCAAACCTGGAATCCATCATGACACATCATTGCAAACTGTCAAGGATGAGATACCAGGCTAGCCATGGCTGGTTAGCCATCTTGCAGCCACTGCTCCCTCTGAAATTCTCGAAAGCAGAACTCTATGAGGCCTTCAACTGCATCCTCTCGAATTATGTACCAGGGTATGTTGGGATACATTACGGGAATGTTGCACATTCCTATAATGCATTGCCTTTGATAGTATTAATTTGAATCCCATAGTGCAGTCTCCATTACAAATGCTGTTCATTGAAATAGATAAAATATTCATATTCTTCCAGGGAATGTGTAGAAGACGGAGATCCATTCCACCTTTTTCGCCTGCTACTTCTTTACCATGATCCTCAGCTGTGTTCTCTCTTAGATACCAAAAAGATCCGACCTGATCATTATGCCTTGCCATGGGTAAGTTTCATTGCTGCATAATTCCTCAAGATTCTTGTTGACCAGTGTAGAACAGAGAAAAGGGTATTCATTATCTTATTTCTTGATATTTTTTTACAGTTCAAGACACTATTTGCTGCTCCATGTGATGTGAAGGTTGTACAAGCTCTCTGGGATGCTTATTTTTTGCAAGCAGATCCTTTCCTCCTCTTCTTCATAGCCCTGGTGATTCTCATCAATGCCAAGTGAGATGAAAAGTTTACAATGAGTTCTCCCTGCACAAATGTAATATCTTGATAAGTTTGTATTGCCAATTTATAGCTGAATTTATGGCCCCTCTTCTTGCATGGAAAGTAATTGATGCCTGAGTTTGCCTAATGGAAGCAGCTATGTTAGGGTTCAAGAAAGGTTGAGCATCCTTATACTGTAAATAATACTTTATGAATGAAATGCCTGTAGTTCTGGAATAAATATAAATAGTTGCTGTGTTTTGAGAATGCTCAGATGAAATAGTTGCTTCCCTACCCTAATATGTCCCTCATCTCTGTAATATCCTTATTTAGGCTAGTAAATTACAATGTATGTCTCCCTATGTTCTTGGCCTCTGAGATGCTATTACCTAATAAATAATTTGAATCATCATGCCTTCCTTTATGTGCGGGTTTATTCTTTCTTTCTCAGAGAGTCATTGATGGCAATAAAGGATGAAAGCAGAGAGAAATTATTGGAATCTCTGTCAGCTATTCCTGGTGCTCTTGTACCTTCAGATGTACTTGATCTTTGCTCTCTTGCCTCCTACTATGCAGTTCGTACTCCAAGTTCCTTTTGGAAGGTGAGGAATCACTTTTCATCTCAATTTATTTTTCAGTCATTGGACATCAAGGTCAAGAGGAAATTGAAAACCATCTCATTGGTCTTATTGGCAATTCTCATTTCAGGAGTTTGAGCATCTGTTCAACCCACTCCTCTCATATCCAAATCCATCAACATGCCCTGTGGAATTGAATTTGAAAAGTGCCCTGTGCATGCCCATCAGCCTTGCAGAACTATTGGATCGCACTCGAATCACCACACCTCCCTCAGCCAACATGGAACATGTTCGCTTTTTCCTTGTTGACTGTCGGCCTGCTGAACAATACAACGCTGGCCATCTCTCAGCTGCTTTTCATTTGGAAGCTAATCTTGTGGGTTCATATTGAGGTACAATCTTCATAAGCTATATTTTTCTGCACCTATGACATACAAAGAATTTATTTATTGGTGATTTGCAGATGTTGCAAGAGCCTGAAGCCTTTGAAACAGCAGTAAAAGCATTACTGTCAGTGCAGAAACAAGGCTTGGCTGCTAAGAGTGCTTTCGGAGGAGAACATTTGTGCTTCCTTGGCTCAGGGAGAGAAACTGAAGATCGCGTTGTCTACATGGTTGTTTCATCCTTCCTTCAACGTCATTGCGCCTGTGTAGGAATGCTTGCAGGTGGATACAAAGGTATTTGGGAAGGCTCTAACTTTTCCACTTTTTTTCTTCAATTTTGAAAAGGATGACTTATCTGATGAGAATTTCATTTCAGCTTTGCATAGAACCTTGCAAGACTCCTTGAATGAGACTCTGGCCAACCACAATGAGGCCGAATGCACTGAGTGCCTTGCACATCCAAGGCAAGGGAAAGCTCAAGATGGAGCCAACTTTTTCCAGAAGTCTTCTTCCTTCTTTGACAAGTTGGGGTTAGTGTTAGTTATGACACCTTCTTTATGACTTTTCCAAATTTTAAGTTGTGATCATGCTTCAAAGTGTAAAGAAATGGAGAAAACTAGCAGGTATTCAGCAAAAAAAAGTGTTATCATGCTTACTTGGTTTTTGCATGACTAAAATTATTTTGTTACACCCAACTCCTGTTTGGAAGTACTGCATATTGCAAAGGAACAGAGTTATGAAAAACCATGCAGAACTTAGTTTACCATTAATTTATAATATACCATAAATATTGCACACATGCTTGCTAGTCGAATTTTTATGAATTCATTTTAAGCCCCATACTAAAAACTTTCAGAAGAACATAATAACCATTTATGCAGGCATCACAACTACCAAAATAAAATCAGAGACAGTGTGCCCTGCCCCTATCCAGTGTCTCCTATGTTTTCTTTTGATATGACATCATCTGGTGACCATGGGAACCATCTGTCATTATTTTATTTAATAAGTATAGAACGATTTTTGGAATAGTTGTAAAAGCACTGGAATGTATTTCTGAGTGAAAAAACCTCTGGAACAACCACATGTTCTTTATTGGCATGTCATTGGGTACTATAGCTCCCTGAACTTGTTTGTGCACAAATGTTGATATCACACATTCAGGTACACCTAATATGCCACAAATGAACATAGTGCATGTTCAGCAGAGTATAAAAATCTGTTTGTTCCATGCACATGACAGTGGTCTTGTACATCATGCTTAACTCCTCCTCTTTAATTGCTTCTCAAAAAAAGGAATCCTTTCCAATATGACATTTTTCTCATGTTTTGTGATATTTTGCTTTAGTAGGCATATTTCACTAATTTATACACATGGTGGCTGTTGCTTTTTGCTACAAATGTTACTGTAAAACATTGTTTTTTTCAATTTTTCAGAGACTTAAAACATGCACTTCATGAAAGTCTTGATACCCTCACAGGGTATCCTGTATACCCTTAGGACATAACTGCTCTTCTGTAGCAGAGGGTTACCCTCCAAGTACTGGTGCATAATCTTGTTTGTCAAACTGGGTGCAGATTTGAGATTTTTTCTCTCCATGTCCTGAGCAGATCAACAAGAATAGTGCACATTTTCAGTTTTTGCACTTGGCCCTCAGCATAAATCCAAATGCAAGGAAGATGAAATGGTTTCTTGTTTATGCAGGACATTGTGTGCAGTATGCCTTCTTGGACAGAAGAGAGGTGTTTCAGGTCTAGGGGAGGGTCAGTGATTCACATTGAAACCAGTATTGGTTGATTCATGGCACTTAGATTCATCCAGAAACAGTACAGCTCAAACTAGTGAAAAATCTTTCAAACTGATAACCTGGTGTGCCTAAGCACTATCAATATTAATCAATATCCTTGTAACTAACACCTATTTGAGGATGGAGTGGATCAGGCATGAAGGCAGTATGACACAGGATGTGAATCAAGCACATCCAACTCTCTTCTCTCACTTGCCAGAATTCATGCAATATTCAGTTGGATTTCTCATTGCAGCATTTTACCTCTGCCTTTAATTCCTTCCATGCATAGGCAAACCTCCAAACTTTTGATTTGGTTTCCATTTTCACTGTAGCACAGAGCATGGCAGCATCCATAAACCTTTTTGTTAAATGTTTTTTATAGAAGCTAAAAAATTGGTACCTTTCCCATTATTAGAGTTAAGGAGGTATGACTTCTTTAATGAGTCTACTCTAATTCTCATGAAGATATAGCGTGACTTCATCTGTGTCTAACCTCATCCTTCTTCCCTCTTTTAGAATTTGGAAAATAACATTCCTGACTTCATTTATATGTATTTTCTTGAATTTCTGCTAATTTCCATCTCCAAATCATCATAGCTGGTTAGTTTTATGCTGTGGGTTGCAACAGATATGCAGAAGACTCTATTTAAAATACCAAGTAATTGCTGAGCTGACAAAACTGCATCATTATTAGCTGTTGCTGGGTGAATTAGATAAGCTGGAGGTCACTCGTTCCATGGAAAACTATATAGCCCTGGCAGAATAATTTGAGCACCCTACTTGAAGCTATAAGTTTACAATGGGAAAAAAGGCTCCAGAAGATGCATTAGTCATTCATTTTAAACCTTTAGTGCTTGTTCATATCTATCTACTGGTTCTGTAGTAGTAATTATTATTGTTGATATTCCACTACTATATTGAGTGTTCAAATAAATCTGACAGGGATTTGTATAACTTTTCCCCATTGATCAAGGCATAAGGATGATTTGACCAGACCAAGCTCTTTTTATATTTCATGTAAATGAATTGTTAGATTATTAAATGATAAGTTACACTGCAAGTCAATAGTTCAATATTTTTCATGCAAATCCCTATTAGATTAATTTAAGCATCCATCAAAGTAGTGGAATATAAACACTAATTGTTATTGTTAAGAAAACAGGACATGGACACAAGAGACTGGTTGAATTTTGAAAAAATAATATTTTAGGAAGGATATATAGCAGGATAATGAAGCATACGTTAGATTATAGTCTTTTTTTTTGTCAGGTTCATCTCTCCTATGTTCTATAAGAGTCTTCCATCAGCAAAACATTTCTATATGGTTCTGGAATCAATTGCTTGGAAAAGGAAGCTTTTTTGGTATTTCTTGAATTATTTGGATAATTCTTCTTCAAATGTGTTCAAGATTTGCAATTGCACACTATAAAAATGACTTCACATGACCCCACAGAGAAAAAAATCATTGGGGTCAGGTCATGTGGCCTAGGAGCACATGAAAGTGAGCCACACCTTCTTTCCATCATCCAGGGCAGAAACATGCAGAAAATTTTGAGCCTCTTAGAAAAATGTCTGTAATCTTGCTGAAAAACTGCATTTGCAATAAAATATTTTCCTTCAAGTAAGATCCTAAAAATTATCTCATAAAACTCATTGCATCTCACCTAAACTTGGGTGTTTTCTTGGAAAGTCACCATTTAAAAAATTGAGACCCTAGATAATATTTGATAATATGATATTTGTTCTGTAGTTTTTCCTTTAAAAAAAAAAATTTTTTTTTTTAAATTATCTATCCAGCCTTTTTTTGTTGTTGTCCACCCTGTAGTTCAAGCACTTTGAAAAAAAAAATGAAAAGCTTGCATGATAAGTGTCTGGGCACATTCTGATGCCCTTTTTTAATTGTCATCCCATGTTAAATGTATGGCTTCGAAATAGGAAGCTTATAAAATTCCTGGAAGGTTCTGCACTTGCTCTGCATTCCTTTGCTATTGGAAATTGTGATTTGAAAAGTGTTTCTGTGAACCTGAGGAAATTCTTTATCGTTCTTGCCTAATTTTCCATTTTCCACATTTTTATCTTTCTTTCCCTGTTATGAACTGCAATAGGAACCCCTGCATTAAACTGCAGCCATTATTATAAGATATACTCTACTTGGACATTCACATCTGCTACCATTCTCCATCTTTTATCCGATTTCCATCTATAACACAAGTATGAATTTTCCCAAAATTATCAGCATTTAAAATTCTGTGGTTGTAGACATAAATTACAGTAAGATTAATGTTCTGCAGTTGAATATGAATTGTATTAACCACAGTGGTAAATAATCCAAGTTTTTCTATGGTTAAACTGCAGACATACTGATAGTCTGTTTTAGGTTATCCAATTATCTGCATCCTGAATGACTGGAGCAGTTTCGCTACCAAGGCACTATCAGCAAGGTGGTCATACAACATGCTGACATATTGTATGGCAGTGAAAGTTTTAAAGATTATACTCCTGTTTCCTTACATCTTGAATGCATGGTCACTCATTGTTTTAGAGTCATTGTATCAATAGTTAGGTTTACTATGTCTGCATACTATAGCAGGACTGTTTTTATTTTGTTTGTATTAATAGTATTTAGAAAAGAAGTGTGCCAATATGTAAAAAATTTGAGGTCCAATATGCTCATAGGTCTGCTTTGAAGAACAAGGGAGAAGAGATGAAGGGAAAATTGGTGGATTACATCACCAATCCATCAGGGTCTGAGTCAAACGTAGTGCGTCATGTGAGATCGGAAGATCGAGGGAAGAAGCCATATCGCAACAGGCCTTCTGTGTTTGCCATTGATGATACTGAAGAAAATTGTGAGTGGACACCATGAATCTTTCAACTTTCTAAATGAAAAATGCATTCATAAATACAGTAAAAATAAGTGCAGAATTTTTTTTTATGTCTGTAGCTGATCCAACCCCAATGGAAGGGAGCAGTGAAGAGGATCTCAGTCAAAAGGAGACTGTATCCATTGCTACATGGCTGAAGAAGCCAGATATCCTGGCTAGCTTTGACTGTCAGGAGGTTTCTCCCAGAGGAGACATTTATCCAAGGTAAGGAATCTGCTCTAAATGGCAAATGTCCAAAGGAAACCTTTTCAGGAAAGTGTATGATAGCTGAAGTGTTCAATTGAGAGAAATTATAGTTTATTGAGTTTTTCTTACATTCTCCATGAACACATCTACATGAATACAAAAGATCTCTGAAGGAATAAGCAAAAGTTACTATGGGACTGTGACTGTGATTGAGGCACATGAAGAGTGAGGAGCATGAGAAGGATAATTTTTAGCTGAAAATCTTAATGTGTAGATCACTATGTGATACACCAGTGGTTCACATGTTGCCACAGGGAAGACCAGTGTTTTACCTCTTGGCAGTTGATTTGTTTTAAAAAAAATAGCAAATCTGAAATAAGTAAAGGAATTGGAAGTTATCAGCTTGAACTAGGGAAAGAAGTTCAAAATTATATTGATACAGAAGGGTAGAAGTTAATAACTCCATTGCAGCCATGAAAGTTTCAAATGAGGACATGAAGAATTTCAGGTTTGAGGAATTGAAAAAACTTGAGAATTATAGCATTCCTATTGAAATCCAACAGGATACATGTGACTTTTTTGTAGCCCAAATTCATGATACATCCTCAGAGATTAGTACAAATGGAGGAGGTGAAGTTGATTAGAATTTCAGATCCAGGAAGTGGGGAATGTGAGAAATGACAAGTGAATGTGAACTGGAGAACTGAGATTGGAAAAATTGAAGAACTCATGTGTGGAGGGGGAATGGGAGTTGAGACCTGTTCTTTTTCTTTCCTTCCCTCTTTCACCCTTACTTGGTCAAAGTAATTTTGGTCAAACTAATGACCAAAGTGGGAGGAGGGGCAGGGGGGAGGAGGTTTTCTTGACCAGCAAGAAAAAAAAGCATATCTTTTCAAAATTCTTGCAATTTTATCTGAGTTTCCAGTTTTAATAATATCAAAAAAATGCACTTCTATAACCTTCCAGCCATCAGTACATGCATGTCAACATACCTACCTACCGGCACACATGCTGAGTGAATTGGTTCTCTAGAGAGAGGACACAATACAATAATAGGTAAAATAGATTATATTTTTGTCAATGTTCTTCCAGTATCTGTTCAAATACTTTCCAAATGATAATTAGATAATTTTCAGAATATTTCATCATCATTTAGTATACAAGAATGCTATTAGTATGGGTAGTGGGTCAAAACAATCCCCTCCCCCCCTTTGCCAATTAAAGGTCAGATGTCACTATGTGAGTATCAGAGGTGTGTCTAGCACTTTCTTGCTCTTATCTCAGGAACTATGTCATGGAACAGAATGAAGAGATCAAAGAGAACTGATAGGATCCAGAGAGCACATGGGTCACACTTTGAAATGAGGAGTGAAATAATCTTATTCATAATCATGGTGCAGAAGAATTGGAACCTTTTCATCCTCCATAAAAATTTTCATTGCCTTCAATTGTCACATTCTCAATATTGACATTTTCTTGAGCTTTCAATGTTTGAATAAGATCTACTCTTTATCTCAACTTTTCCATTTACAGTTCTGGAGACTTTCCTTTAGATCTTCATTTCTCAAATTATCCTCTGTTTTATTTTTAATGTTCTCAACTTTGCATGCCCAGTGTTGAGACTGTCTTCTCAAATTCTTGTGATTCCCTTCTCTTGTACAATGGTGCACTCTTTGACCTCCTTTTTCTCTTTTTTTTATCTCTTCCTTTTTTCCTAATTTTGCGTGATGCCTCCCTCCACTCTTACATTATTTGGTCTGTCTTCCTGTCTTTCTTGGAAACCTCTTGAAAAAATCAATTCTTTGTCTTTTTATCAGACTAATGCAATAGCCCACCAAGAATGAGACCATTAATTGTTATGTTCTCCAGATCAGAGGAATCACTCTTTATGACTTATTTCAAATTTCATAATCTGAAGTGTTTTTAATTTTTGCTGTTTTTTTTCAGTATTTCTTACATTTCTGTCTTATGTTTTGCAGCAAATTGCTTGTGACCCCATCATTTTTGTATGGTTTGAGAGAGTTGCCAAACCAGAAAGGCACAGCTCTGCTGTCAGTAAAGAGGTCACTCTCAAAGATTGTGAAGATCACATCCAGAAAGTCCAAACCAGAAGTCATCACATTCAAGTATGGAGTCGCCACTGGAGAAGAATTCATCATTACTGATATGGACAAGTGAGTCATAGTTTTTTTTTTTACCCTTTTTTCCTAATGTGGCTTTTATGACAGCCATTTTTTCATTGACTTTCTTCATCTCATACCTTCCAGGTTCATCATTCCTGATGCATTCAATGCAACACGAATCATCAAACTGCAGATAGTGAAGCTCAACCAGGATGAAGAGTCTGAAGAGACCAGTGAAGCACAAAAGAATGAACCCCAAAATGAAACGTCACTCCCTCCATCAAGTCATGAGCCAGAATCTAAACCAGATTCTGAAGCTAAGCAGGACCCACCACAAGATTTGCAATTGACAAATGAGTCATCTGAACAGGTTCCAAATTTTCCACCTGCAGCCTCCAAGGGCAATGCACCAGAAGGAAAAGAGCACTCTGGAGAGTCTATCACTTAGATTTATGCATCTCTACAGTCTTTTTTTCATGCAATCCACATCCATATCCTCTGTTGTGATTCCTTTTTTTTTATGTTCTTATGTCCCATTCCATAATTACTTTTCTTCAAATTATTTCATATTTGGAATTTTATGATGCGGTAAGTGATAATCGTAATCAGCATGTACTATGATTGTCTCCTTAGCAAATAATTATGAAGAACTATAATATATAAATGATTATGGAACATGATTTCTATGTTTGTGAAGCTAAGTATGTGAGACATTCTAAATAATATGATTGTCAATTGGTGAGGGATAGAAATATTCTTGTCACTTTTTTCATCCTAAGTCATGTGTGATCCATGTCAGAGAGAAATCTTGAATTTTGAATCATTGGTTCAGAAATAAACTGTTATTTGGATTTTATGCACTCTTTCATTCCTGAATAGTTTTTCACTTCTGAGTCTTGGTCTATGTGTGTCCTTAAAAAGTTATTGTATGTACTTTACCAGAAGTGCAATGCTTGTGTGTTTTTCCAGAACAATAATAATTGTTACTGCTTAGGGTTTTTTTTTCTGGCATTTGTTGCTAAAAGGAAAATTGTGAGGTCATGGTTCCAGTGATTGTTCATGAAGTTTTTTGTGAGACCTATATGATCTTTACTTTCGACATCAAGGATAGATGGGTTGCTCCAGAAAGGAGGCAGCAGACCTGATTCTTAGGGAATCTCCAAGTTTTGCTTCCTCTGGAAACAGTTGTAGTGAAATGAGATATCTTTTTACTGTTCAAAATGAAATTGAATGGTACCACTGCATCATGTAACTTTCTATAACCCCTTGTCTCTGATTATTCTCTCTAGGTAGTAGCAGGTTCCATGCACATCATTGCCATCCCACAGGGAAACATTCCATGCTTTTTCTGCACCAGTGATCATTATGCGAAGTAGAGTAAGTTTCCATCTCAAGCTGTACCTAGTGAAGTAGGTATTTGTGAATTATGCTAAGGGATTTGCAAACAATTCTTTTATAAACAATCTTGTCCTCACCAGGAAGCCTCAGCCTTTTTAACTTGCTAATTTGACTGTACTCAGTGCACACTATCACCACTAAGGTTTGAGTGACAAGATTTGCTTGGAGAGAGTAGCATTAATGGCTCCTCTCAAAGAACTACATAAGACCATTATGATTGACCAGCTGACTAGGACAATGTGGACTTCATGTGCAATGAAGGGAAGCTTGAGGCATCACCCTGGAAAGACCAGATCCAGGAAATGGACCTTCTCTGGTCTCCTTTCCATGCCTTCAAAGTGAAAATAGATAAGTTTTCCAACACACAATACCTGTGCTTAATTCAGATTGTGTGGACCAGCTATTCTCAAACTGGAGGTTGCAACCTCCTGGATGTTTGAAGGTTCAATGGGAATGAAAGGAAGTTTGAGAATCACTGGTGTAGGCCATGTATAATCAATGAAAGAAAACACAAATATGGAGGATGCTGAGCATGAACAGCTATATGCACACTGTTGCATATATTTAACCAATCATAGATAAATTCAGGAGAAATAGGGCAAAACCAAAGAAGTGCAGGCAATGCCTATGGCAATGAAAACAGTTTCATTAGCTACAGAAAATTTTGATAATTCATATGATTAATAGAGAAAATGCTCATTATAGAATCCTTTGATTTCATTGCCAGCGCTCAGCCACCAGCTCTGTGTCTGCATCCAGCACAACATCAACTGGATCTTCTTCCTCTGGATCCAGCTCCTCATCTTCCAGCGATTCGTCTTCTGAGGAACAGTCATCAGTGTCAACCCGCAGCCGGACCAAGAGTCGGGATTCCAGTCAGGAGTCTGATGCAGGGAAGAGGAGTCCCAAACGAAAGGCACCTGCAAGTGCTTCTGCCCCTTCAGGGCCCAAGAAACAAGATGCTACAGCCACTCCAACAAAGAAGCCCCAGAAGACTGAGACTTGGAGCAAAAAGCCTGTGAGTATCTGAACCATCCCATGCTTTGAGTTCTTTCTGCTCCCTAGACCCCAGCCAGTGTGAGAGTTCAGTGGTACTCTTCATGAGCTCTGCATATGGTTAATGTGCTTCTTTTTATTTTGTTTGTAGGTTCAAGCTGCTGTGAAGAAGCCTGTTCCTCGAATAGCTAAGAAAGAGCCTCGAAACCTTCTCAAGAAGGCAGAAAAGGGTAAGGTGTTGAAAGAGAAGAGCATTTTTAGCCCAGACAACAGCAGTGAGAGTGATTCTGGAATAAAAGAGCAAGTGAAACAATCCAAAACTCCACCACCAGTCTTTGCTCGCAAGTCTGCTCCTCCACCCACACACAAATCTGCATCATCCACATCAGGTGAGATGTGTTTGTGGAGGATGATAAAAATGTGATGTGATGATTTTGATTGCTGTGTCCATCAGTTCTAATACAGAGCCATTGAGTAGCATTATTACTTGGGCATTGGAAAAATTGAATTTTTTTTTTCTTTATTGCTGAACTTGTAATGTTCTGTTTCATTCTGGAAAATTCCTTAATTTCAAAATTGAATTTGTAAAAAAGAAAAAAGGGAAACATTATTTAATGACTGAAATTCATTTTTCAATTTCAAAGTTTTACTATGCAAACAGCAAAGAATGAAAAAGAAATTAAGATTCAGTCTGCTAGGATACATCTGCTAGGTTGGGATTGATGCTTCTGGCCAATAAGGCTTGCCTTAGCAGTGTTAGAAAGAATTAGCAAACTCTTTCAGTCAAAAGCATGTTTTTTTTATGAGATAGCAGATATGGAAAGGGCTCATTGCATTTATTCTTTTTCCTTCAAATGCTCTTTGGATGAGGCTTTCCCTCTGCTTTATGCTTGACCTACAATTTAACAACTACTACTGACTGCAAGCAATATCAAAAGACAAGGAACAGAAGGAGAGTGCTCATTCCTGGGAAAAGTGATGCTAATGTGTATGTGGTAACATTTTGTTGTAAAACATTAAGGCATTGCAGGAATTTTGAGTAGAATTTATTATAATTTTGCAATTTATCTGGTTTGTTTTTCACTGGTGAGTTTCGACATGTGTGCAAAGTTGTGAAAAAATGGTTGATATTCCTTGTTAAGGTACTTATTTTGCAAAGATGTAAAGTGCAAATAACCTAGATTTTTTCTTAGGGACACTTGGGAATATTGGTCAAAATGCAAATGATAGAGAAGCAGTTTTCACTGTGAAAGTTTGTCATGAAAATGACAGTAATTGGATTTTCTCATTTACTGATCGTCTATATAGAGAAAGGGATGGGTCTTTTGCACATCAACATACGAGGAGATCTCTGTCCTTGAATATGACATTGAATTCAACTATACAGAATGAGGTTGGGCTTCATGAATAGGTAATATATGGTGGACACAAAGTCCCTGAGGGGTTTCATGCCTGTATATCTTGGGAATGGGGTGGCATAGAAATATGCAATATCCAGCATATGAAAGGTTATTTCGTGAATTTTTGTATGACATACCAAATCATACATCTCACACTTCCACATATCTGCCATCTTTGTCAAAACATACATGCAACCTTCTAGTGAACATTTCCAGAACTGCTTACAATTGGGCAGGTGTGATGTTCCTGACTGCTCTCCCAATGTGAGTGCAATTCAGTCATGCTTCATGTGCATGTGGCATGCACAATGTTCTTAACATGTCCCCACAAATGGAAGTCTCTAAGGGTTAGGTCTGGGGGACCTGGGAGGTGATTGGATGAACACTCCCCATTCCATCCATCGGTTTGGAAACTTTTCATCCAAAATATGTGCACTGGTCCCCCTGACCTGACTCATGACTTTTTTTTCATGAATTTGAATTTTAAAAATGTATAAGGGTCAGGTCTAGGGACACATCTCTCAGTCAGGAACATCACACCTGCCCAATTGGAGGCAGTTCTGAATATGTTCGCTAGAAGGTTGCATGCATGTTTTGACAAAGATGGCGGACATGTGGAAGTGTGAGATGCATGATTTGGTGTGTCATATAAAAATTTACGAAATAACCTTTCATATGATGCATATTGCATATTTCTACGCCATCCCATTCCCAAGATATACGGGCATGAAACCCCTCAGGAACTTTCTGTCCACCTTGTATTTTTTAAATTCCCTGGAGCACTGCCAATAGAGACTGCCCTGGGCCTCCTGCCTAACTATCCCATGTTTGGAGCTATCCACTTGTTGGATTGGGAACCTATGACTCATGAACCAAGTTTTGTTCATGTGCAAAATAATTTGTCTCATGGACTACAGAAGAGAAAAATTGTTTTTTAATACTGATTTTCTGCCAGTTTGTTGCCAACTTCAGAATGAATTTTGCTGTTTTGAAAATCTTTGGCTAACAAGCACTTGGATCAATCTTAATTTGGCTCATCATAGTCAGTCCCATGACCACATTGGTTGTAGGGGCACCGTTGAAGCCACAGCAGTCATTTCTTTCCATGTGTCCTGGTACTTGGCTTCTGTATCAACTCTTCCATCCTGCAGCCCATCCATGCCTTGATGTTCTCTGTCCAGCTCATCTTGGGTCTTCCTCTCTTCCTGTTGCCATTGACTGTGCCTTGTAAGACTGTTTTTGCATGGCTTCCCTCTCTCCTGTAGATATGGCCGAACCACTGTAGCTTCCTGTACCTCACAATCGCTATTATCATCTCAATTTCACCAGTCTTCTGTGTGATTAATTTCCTTACCAAGGCGTTTGTTTGGTGCGTTGTGTACGGTGTTCTGAGCAGCCTCCGAAAGCATCTCATCTCAAACGCCTCTATTCTCCTTTTGAGTTTCTTCATCAATGTCCATGTCTGGTACCCATAGAGTGCTGTTGCCATGATGATTGTTCTGAGAAGGCGAATCTTTGATTTATCTGAAAACCCTGTGCTCACCCAAATGATCATCAACCTAGTCAGTGTACTCATTGCCATTGCTAGTCTAGTCTTCACCTTGCCTCTCAATTTCCCATCTTCTGTCAGGATTGAACCTAGTTACTTGAATTTCTTGACTCTTTCCAGTTCTTCCCCATTTGTGCATATCTTAGTTTTGGTGGTGTTGTCACTCTTCCCAGTGATTAGTAATTTGCTTTTCTCAGTGTTGATTTCCATGCCATATCTTCTTGATATATTGTTCAGTCTCATTAGTTCTTCAAGCTCTGTTGACATCTTTGGAATCAGGTCCATATCATCTGTGAAACACAGGTTACAAATGTTCCTACCACCAATTTTTACTGCTCCCTCGAAGTTGTGCAGCATTTCTGTCATGATCTGTTCGAGAAACACATTGAACAGATAGGGCAATAGCACACACCCCTGCCTGACCCCAACAGTTGTTCAAAACCAGTCGTTGGTGGTGTTAGGTGGTTAGGTTAATTTAGTTCACATGTCAAAATAGGTCCCTGACCCCTACAATAGATAAATAAATGTGTTGTGGAAAGTGAATGCTATGCTGAAGTGAGCCTCAAAAGACAACATTGCTGACTTGACTAGAAAGACAACATGGCTCTATTTTGGAGAGCCAATCATGGATGGGCCTTCAGCCTTGGAGATTGTTGTGGTGGCTCTCAAAATTTCCTGTTCCCCCTCTCAGTGTTCCTTTATTTTATGAGACATACAGTTGAAACTTATAGAACATCTCACTCTTCTTTCCAGTCGTGCCTGTGCCAAATATGAAGCTCATTCAATGTCCCATAAAAGTGGTTTCCATCATCCTGTCATTTTTGTCAGATTTTACTGGGACAAACCAGATATGGGTGTTAAGCCTCCAAGACTATGATTAAGGTGAAAATTTAAAAAGTTGGGATGATGTCACCTCAAAAGTTTTGACTCATAGCTTATGACAATTTTCCATGCTTTTTTCCACTTTTACATACATAATGCCTAAGAACAGAGGGACTGTAAGAGCATCATAGCTATACCTGAAAATAGTTGTTGAAAATAAACTCTACCGTTTTTTATATATTTTTTATTTGTCCTGCTTCTCTAACAAAATTTCATACCATTGTTATGACCCGCCTGCATTAACAATATCTTTTCAACCAGCTTCATATTTATCTTGCCTGACTTGCAGATGAAACAGAGAGAGATTCTGATGGAGAAAGGAGGGCTTCAACCCCTAAGAAGGGAAGCAAGAATCGGACAGAGGAAAGGAAGGGTCGTGTTGAGCAGAGGAAGCGAGCTCATGCTCAGATGCGTCCCACAGCTCGGCCAAAAGCAGCACCCTCAAGTGAGGAGAGCGAGGAGGAAGCTCGCTCCCCAACCCCCGCCAAGAAGGTCACCAGGTCATCCATTGTCCGAAAGAGCAAATTGATCCATGGCAGCCCTGTCAAGAAAGATGACAGTAATTCAGAATCTGAAACAGGTCAGTCATCCTCATGTTTAACTCAACAGTTGGTCATGCAGCCTCATTAAAGTCCAAGCAGTAGTGTTCACAGACCAGTGTCAACTTGAGTGGGTATTTGGCTGACTTGGAATAAAAGTTACTGGAACTGACCATTAACATCAGATTTGATGCTCTGATGGAAGCTATATTTTATCAGAGTTCAAGGTATTGAATCTTTTTCTACTTTTCTACATTCCTGTCACAATGTTAAATTTTTCATTTCCCTCTGCCAACACCTCACAAGAACCTCATGTAAGGTTCTCATGATTCCTGTCACCTGCTTGATATGAAGTAATGTCATTCTACATGTTGGTGTAATTTACACTGCTGAAAAAAATTTGAAAGATATTTCAAGTTCTATCTTGAATTGAAAACCTCTAACATGCAAGGCCTATGATGCTATGCCATTCTAGGCCATAAAAACTTTGGTATACTTTTAAATCTACTATTAAAGGCTCATGCTATAGATGGCAATTACTACAGGGTTTGTCAAGAGTCCTGCCCACCTGTTAAAATGTAATTACTTTGTAATGCTGGATTTGATTGAGACATGTTTCACACCATTTGAAAGGAAAGATAATTCTCTTAATTTGTGATTTATTTGTGAGGTGTGGTCTTGAAAATAATCCAATTAGCTGGGTGATAACACTTTTGAACTTCTCAGGGTTTGTTTGAAAATTTTTAATGTTTGGTTTGAACCAAACTGCTTCACATCTTTATGTAAACGTGTTCAAATTTCTGCCCATAAGACAGCCAGCGGAGCAGCCACAGGCCGCTAGTATGTTTTATTAGTTGAAATTTGGTAATATAATACACCATTCCAAGAAAAAACTAAGCACTCTCCCCAAGCTTGAGTAGATGCCCTCTCTCTCCTCATTCATTCATTGAAATCCTGCTCACCGATCACAATAATTTCCTTGTTTGGAAGGTCTCTTAGTTCCCCTTGATTTAGCTTGATTTAGGATGTAATCCATGATAACTCGTGATAACTCTTTATGGCGACGCTAGAAGAAGTCTTCAAAACCCTTGACTGGGAAAAGAAAGGAATCAAGGTTAACCTGAGCCACCTGCACTTTGCAGATGGCATCATCATCTTTGAATCTATACTTGAAGAACTAGAAAATCGAGTGAAGGAACTTCTTCTTCTTGCGTATGGCGTTGCTGTTGCTGATCGTACCGGGAGATCGATGGCTGGTGGCCAGTTGACGACATTAGTTGCATTAATGGGTTTACACGCACAAATGCTTAACAGGAGCACCACGTGAAGGTTGCCGTCTTACTCCCAGTGAAGGAACTCACAGAAGCCAACAAAAACGCAGGCCTAAAGATGAACCTTGCAAAATCTCAAGTCATGTTCAACAAACATGTCAGACCCAAAGAAATTGAAGTTAATTGAAGTAACAGCTTCAACAAGCTGATAACTACATCTACTTAGGACAGCAAATAGCTTCAGGCAGCAGAATTGCAGGAGAAATCAACCTAAGAGTGAAGATTGGATGGAGTGCTTTCTGATGCCTCAATCTTTCAAGGGCAACCTGCCTACCTGTCTCGAGAAAAGTCTTCAACCTATGTGTACTCCCTGTTCTCACATATGGATGTGAGAGATGGACACTGACGGCAAAAATGATAAAGAAACTCCGGTGACTCAACACAGCATGGAGAGGTGCATGCTTCAAGTCACAAGAAGACATGGGAAAAAGAATGAATGGGTCAGAGCACAGATGAAGGTGAGCAACATCATCGAAAGAATGAAAAAACTCAAATGGCAGTGGGCTGACCACAGACCAGCAGTGGATGATGGAAATTCACAACTGGATACCAAGGGATAAGAAGACACATAAATGATGCCCCCACACGAGATGGATTGACGAAATCAAGAAATTCACTGGACCAATGTGGAAATGAACAGCCGAGGACCAGGAAAAGTGGAAGCATTTTGGGAAGGCCTTCATCCTGAAGTGGATCAAAAAGGGCTGATGATGATGATGTACTCATGTTGGAGTTTTGATTGGGTAATTGAGGAAAAATGGAAGGGATTGTCCTGTCCACTCTGTCACCACTGCTCAGTTTTTTCTTTTAATGATGTAATTGTTTATTTGTCATGTAATTGAAATAAGTAATAAATAAGAAAGCAGTAAGGTATGGCAGCAAATAGGGCAGGCATAGTTGTAGGTAAATTTCCCAGGGGCTATAAAATGTGGTCTATACAAGAATTTAAATGTGTAAATAAGCACTAAAAGAAAATAAATAACTGTTCTTAATACAAAGTATGATCACCACAAACACTAATCACAGCTTGAAATCCTGTGGCATTCTTTTGATCAATGTGTCAATTAACCCTACACTGCATGGTGTGTCAGATAAGGCACACTCTACTTTGCATTGAAATGTATTGCAGCACAATGAAAAAAAAAAAACAAAATGAAAGGATAATTTTTTCATTATTTTTCTCATCAACCTTGTGAAAAAATATTATCATCAAAAATGTTTTTGGTACAGTTAGAAAAATCATGCATTGTATGGTTAATTCTGGAGGGTGTTGTATCCATTCTTCACAAAGAGCTGTTATCAGGCTGTCAGTTGTCAGAGGAGGATTATGGGCATTTTATAACCCCTGGGAAATGTACCTCCCACCATACTTGCGACATTCCTGAGTACCTATTTTATGACTTATTTCAATTATATGTGTAATGAACTATTATTATTATTATATTACCAAATCTCCAAACTTTAACTATTAAAACATGTAGAACTTGAAATATCCTTTAATTTTTTTGATCGATGTATTATTTCATTCACCCTGGAGAAGTTTACAAAATCTGGCAGCTTCACTCTCTCCCCTCTCTAAAATGACAACTTCTCTCTGGAGGTGTTGAATGCCTCTGAGGTAGTATTCAAAGCCTCTGGTGTCACTGTCTAAGACATGAACACACATGGACACTGACATCGTTTCACCATTGCATACTCACAATTACAAATTTTGCAAATTGGTGCAATTCTCATGATCAGGTCAAGCATGCAAGTTATTAGTTTCAGATCAAGAAAATTCCAACCATGTACCCTTCTACATATTTTATATCTTTCCCTGAAGTTTTCATCCTATTGACTAAAAGGTTTTTGCCTGATGCATATAATGTCATATTTTTGTCTCTGTAAGCACATTATTAATACACAACTTCACTCACCTCTAATCAAATTCATTCCTTTGGAGACCTAAACATAAAGTTGGGGACCCTTGGTTCTATCCCTATAACTGTTAGACTTGTTCCTCATGTTCTTAACAGATTCCTTGTAAATATTTGCATTCTTCTAAACACATCTCTATGAAAAACTTCAAATATCAAGTTAACTCAATTGGAGCCATTAGGAGGTCAATCTCAGGAGTACTTGATTGAGATTAAAATTCAACCCAGCTAAGGAGTTACTATGAGGTTCCATGTATTCTTCAGTTGACTTATCCTCTCTTAGTTCCACAATCCTAGGCATCTTTGAAGACTCTAATTTGGATGTAAGTGATGTAAGACAGATCATATAAGGCTCTATGGTATAGTTGTGATCTTTGTTCCAAACAAAAGCCTAGAAGACTGATGCCTTCTGTGTTGGTTGTGGGAATCATTTGTCCTGAGCACTGTCTGGTGTGCAGAGTGTGTATCTGATGTGGAGAGTAGAAACAGATGACTTGAAGGCAACAAATGTATGGCTCAGTGTCAGTGTACCTATATTTATCAGGATTTGTCTTCATGCATATGTATTTCAGTATGTCTCAAGCCTCAATTAATTTTAAAGTTTCAGTAAGGCTTTGACCTGGAATTAATACAACCCTTTCACTTTCCAGTTTGAGTTCATTCAGGTTGGAAACTGATACAAATACCACTGAAGTGTGTACTTCATCCAGTTAATAAATACACCTTGCAGCTTAAAAAATATTCCAGTAATGCTGAGCTCATGGCACTCAGAATATGGCAATAATGAAGTTTCCTAATTATTTAATTCCTCATTAAGGATATTTATCATCAATTAGCTGTAATATTGGTTTGTGAATGTGAGCCATTGACTAGCATATCTACTTATCATCTACATCTTCATCTTCATAAGTAGCATGCGTATTAGCTTTTTCATGTGAACGTTAGTTCATCATCATCATCATTGCAGAGTCATTGTCAGTTTGGAGCATTAATCTTTATCCTTTAATTGTCCACAGAGGGAGTAGCATTGACTCCACATGGAAAGAAGCCACCAGTTAAGTCCACTGTGAAGTCAGTACCTGGGAAACGAGGCAGCAAGAAGGGTAACAAAGGTCAGAGCAAGACCAAGAATAAGACTCCCATTGTACAAGAACAGTATCATCCCCTAATGATGGAAGAACGCAAATGCCCTGTTCCTGGATGCGACTCCAAGGGCCACATGAGTGGAAAATTTGAGAAGCACTACCTTCCATCTTCATGTCCACTGTTCCATCATCTCACTTTTGAGATGTGCATTGTATGTTCCCACATATTCAGTATTTCCACTTTATGGCACTTTCAATGAGAAAATGCAAACTCTGTTCCTTGGCAGCGGGAGAAAGATGAGAGAGAGGAGAAGGACAAGAGTTATCAAAAGCTGATTGAACAGCTTCCAAGGAAGGTGCCAGGGAGAGACCATCGTACGCCAGAGCAACGGGTGTACGTCGAAAAGGTAGCCGAAGGACGTTTAGAAATGAGCAAGAAGAAGGAGAAAGCTGTGAATTCTGAGCGTCCCCCAGGTGATGGACCATCACTTTTGGGGGGCAGGGATCGACAGCCACCACTTGAAGGCCTCACATCTGACTTTGATCTCAAACTCTTTCAAGAGGCACAGGCTGCTGCCAGTGAGGATCTGGTGAGCTATTTCTTCTTCCTCCAACTTGAGCAGACCAGCCAAATACATGAGAATGAGGCATGTAAAAAAGTCGAGCCATGTGTGATCTTACAGGAGCGTGAACTGGAGGGGAAAGGTGTGTTTCGAGGGGTCCAGTTTGTGCAGATTGGGAAGTATGAGATGGAGACCTGGTATCACAGTCCCTATCCAGATGAAGTGGTCTTCCTTCCAAAGATTTACCTCTGTGAATTCTGCCTCAAGTATCTGCGCAGCCAGAACATGCTGCGTCGTCACATGGACAAATGTGTCTGGCGACACCCTCCAGGAGATGAGATCTACAGGTGAGGCTTAAGCCTCTTATCTGAAGCCAAAGTTGAGTTGCTTCGAGTTGAAGAATGCCCATTTCAACCTGTAGGAAGGACAAGCTTTTGGTCTGGGAAGTAGATGGGAAGCGCCAGAAGTCATATTGTCAGAACTTGTGTCTCTTGGCCAAGCTGTTCCTGGATCACAAGACCCTCTACTTTGATGTAGAGCCTTTCCTCTTCTACATCATGACTGTTGCAGATTCCCATGGTTGTCATATCACTGGGTACTTCTCTAAGGTGAGTCTCTACTTCCCCTATTTCCTCTGTATCTGCTTTGACCTGGAAAAAAAAAAAACCTCTCCTAGGAGTCAGTTGTGTATGGTACTTCAAGGGCTCTGGTTATCTATCTAATGTAAATAGGTTTGGATTTTTATCGCAACTTGGCCTTGGCTAAGTCCGCCGTCTATGTTTTTTTCCCAATCCTATGACATGGTGGGTGCCAGGAGTCTGCATTGGTGGTGTCTTTTTGCTGATTAAACACCTCCAGAGTAGTAGAGGGCTATATATAATGTGTACTTTTCATGACAGCGTTAGGATCCTCTATAGTCTTAACTTGGATCATGAGATGATAGGGATTGTGAAGTTTCCAACTTCAAGTCGGCGTTATGAGATAGAATAATGGAATGTTGGTCGACCTTTTTGAAATTGTGGCTGGTCTGTTTATCCAAGAACTTGAAAAATCTCGTTTGAATGGAGCCCTTATATTAGTAGACCTAGAGATACACTACAGTTGAGCCACTTCCTCGAAAGAGCATATTTGAGATCACCGCCAAAAGTTTTTTTCGTACAGAGAATTCATCAGAATATAAGTATCAAGTAATGTTTTGTGTGATATCGGGACTTGAGAACGAGTCCTGAAATGAAAAGCATGATCGAAGTCGAAGATGTTGGTTCCTCCAATGATTTAACTCAAAACTAGATTCTTTTGTCCTTGATTTTCGATGGTATGGGCTTCCATTCCCGTTCTCCAGTCTCAAGGGCATACGCCCGAACAGGCTGGCTCACTTCCTCCTCCGCCGGTTGACCAGGCGTCATCATGGAGTCAGGCGCGAGAGAACTCGCCTCTCTTGACTTGTTCCCACGCGTGGTCACGACAATAAAACCAACGACATGCATCTACTGAGAATGGGTGGACAGACACAATTTCCGGCCAGCTTAGCCATCGCATCTCTCTCTCTCTCTCGCTCTCTCTCCTTCTCTTCACCTTCCTGGGTGTTTTAGAGACAGATGGAGAAGTGAAGGAAGAAGAAAAGAATGCGTGATGAGGATGAGGGAAGGAAGGGAAAGAAGAGAGAGAGAGAGAGAGAGAGAGATCAGTGAACCTAGAATGCTAGTCGGCCTTGGGACGGCGTTGAATGGCGTGAAGAGGAGAGGAGACAGAGAGGCATTTCCCTTTCCCATCCGTCGCTGGGCCACGTGGAGGCTCTTCTCTCGTGCACTACCCTTACCTCGCCGTGTCCGGTTGCCCCTGCCGCATCCCACTTAGTGGGAGTTCTATGGTATAGACCTATCACGCGTAGAAACTCATCCCTCTGCCCGCCCAGTCATCTCACCTCATCAGCCACACATTAAAGTCCCCTCACCTGCCCACCTCTTTTCCGCTCTTAAGAATCATCGAAGAATCATTAGGGTGCAAAATACACCAAGACTTTGGAAGTACGTTGTCTGCATCTTGGAATAAAATCTGTCGCAAAAGAGCATATTAAATTTTGCAAATGGAATTTGATGTTGACTTGAAATATTGGACATCAAAAAGGAGGATGCCCAATATAATGTTATTTTGGCCCTTAAACCGAATTCAATGAATCATATATCATTTGAAAGGGTGTCTTTTGCAGAGTAATAAAATGCCACTTTTACTCCAATCTGAAGGGTTTGAAAATGTTAGGTTAGGTTAGGTTACGATAAAAATTATTTTGCATGTGTTTTTCATCAAAATAATAATTTCAGCAGTTTTGAAGGAAGCGAAATGCAGGCTACCAATAAAAAAATTAATTAAAATACAATTGAATTGTATTTTGTAAAATCTCACAATGAATGTATGATTCATTATATGAAAGTTAATGATTCGTAGATGCAAACTTTTTTGCGAGATTTTCAAATTCCCAGCTCAAGTTCACCGATTACTTCCAAAACTAGGTTCATTCTAAGTAGTTGGCTATGCGGAAGGCATTTATTGGAATTATTTATTGGAATTTATTGGAAGGCATTTATTGCCATTTGAAAACAGTAAAATAACTTAACCCAACTTTTCGAAACCCTTCACATTTGCATAAAAATTATGCAATTCATGTTCACAAGGGAAACCGATCACAAAATATCAATTTCATCAAAATCAGTTTAAGGCCAAAAATGGGCTAATCTAACCTAACCTAACCTAACTTTTTCAAATTGGTCAGATTTGGAGGGAAAAAAAAATACATTTTTTGGTTTGGCTAAGGACGCCCCCTCGAAATATACACATATCTTTGATGTTGGTTTAAGGGCCGAAACTGGGCATACTCCTTTGTTTAGCTGAGTTCGCTTCGTTATAAAGATTTTCCTGCAAAATGAAGACAACACTCACCTAAGTTTTTGTGTGTTTTGCAGGTCATGTCTGATGTGCTACCAAAACATTCTGTTAGCGATCGTTTCGGAGACATTGCCTACTAAATTCATCCCAGTTTATGGGGAATAAATCCAGCCCCAAAACTAAAAAAAAAAGAAAGAAAAGAACACTCTCATGGAAACATGTGGATGAAAAATCAGAGGGGGGGGGGATGCACAATGATCCACGCGATCACATGCTGATGACCCTTTAGTTACTTAACAATAAAAAAAAAAACTTATTTTGTCTGTCATTCTCCCCCCCATCATTTAATTTTTTTTTTTTTTACCTGACTCCAACCGACGCCCTTTTGTTATGCTGATGTCCTGATATGGGGGCCTTATGTTTTTCGCTATGGGAAAGTGCAGTTGCTATGTCCCTCGTCCCCATTGCTACGGCCCTGATCCCTCCGGTCTCGAAAAGGATCCTCTGGTTTCCTGTTGAGTCTCCCCCTAGACTGTTCGTTGGGGTCGATCTCATTTCGCGATGAGAATTGAGACAGGGCATATCATATGTCACGCGAGTCCTGACGCAGTCACACATGACCTCCGCTTAGAACTTTCTGTCGGATCCGGCATCTACTGGGAAAGGAAATGTGCAGGAGAGGAAGGAACACATTATAGGCTTCATTTCGCGTGCCACATTACATTCAATGGTCCGAAGTTATATTGATGAGGACTATGCAGATGGATCGCTTTGCACGCTATCTTCACTCCGTGTTACGACCGTTGCCTTTGGAATCCCGTTCCGTTGGATATTCGAGAGATGGCCCTTGAAGGACCTAAGGATAAAAAGGGAGGAAGAGGGGAGGGAAGAAAGCACGCGCCCCGGCTGTCTCCGGGTGACGTCAGAGCACGTGGGAAAGTTTACGCAACCTCTTTCGCAGGCATCATCGTCCTGTATGACCATACCCATGCATCCTCCAGCATCCTGAACCCATTCAATGGGGCAGGGGCTGTGCGAGCCGGAGCTAGACGTGTCGGGAAATGGGGAAAACCCATAGGCGGGCTTGTAATAATCTAATCGCGAAGCGGAAGTTCCACGCAATGGCGTCACAGTCTACAAGGAGAGTGTGTTATCGAACTGGAAATGTGTTCCAGGGACTGCAGTATTCTCTCCTCTTAATCTCATTCATCCATTTCTGTCGCGGAACTCGAACGAACGCCGCCTGGTTCTTTTCCTGTGAGAAATGGAAAACCATCAAGGCCAAAATGAGAAAAGACACCGTGGCAAGGTGGACAATATTTTTAAATCGTCTTGCGTGGACTTCTGAGGAACACCGTCTCCAGGCCGCAGTGTGAAAGGATAATACCATTCCAAATATATTAATTCCACGAAAAACATTCCATTGACCATAGTACCTCTGGTAAATTGTACCGTTATTTCTACGAGTACTTTTCGCTTCGAGAGGCCCTAGGCATGTCATCAGGCGAGAAATCCCAGAAGGCTGGTCTGGAAACAAGGGGAGAGTCCTCCCAAGAAAAAGGCTCTGACTCGGGAGAGAAGCCTTGGATGGGGTGGGCAATTATCCAACGTCGCTGGGGGTCTTCTCTTCCTCCTCCCCCTTCATTATCGCAATCAGCCCTCAACGAGAACTCTTCCTTTTTTTCGTTTTTGGTCTTAGGACTGAAGCTCACGCGATACAACACGCATCATGACTCCAGACTTCCCACCTTATTTCTTTCGCTGAGATAATTTCAGGATGAAAGAATATTTTTTTTTTAGCTGTCTCTATTTTGGGTTTGTGAGGCCGTTGTGAAGGGGCTGCATAAGAGAGGATGGTGAAGTGATGGATATTCTCCCGGCCTCTGTCACCAGAATTAAGATGGATGCATCCATGCTGAGCAGGAAACCTGCATTTTCTTTCCCAGAGCCCACCCCATAACTTGGGTGCCTGTAATTTTTTATTTATCATGCATACGGCAGCGTTCGTGTGCGATAGCCAGTCGTGGAGCACCGCACGGACAATCCAGTAATGAAATGTCCTGAAATGCAGTACTGAAAAGTGCTACCAATTCCTTTTTTACGTACTAGAAGGGACTGGGTCCAATGGGACCTGGAGGGAGTTCCAAGGACGGACACCCAGAGAGGCAGACAATGAAAAAAAAAACCACAGACACATCAGACGATGACATGTCAAACCATGTCGAGCCGTCGAGGACATCCTTGATTTCGGTTTTGTTTCTCTTTGCGCCTCCCCCCCTCCCTCGTCGACACAGCGGGGACTGTCTGTGTCTATCTGTCTGAGGGTCGGTGTCTGTCCCTGTCTGTCCTCGTCTACCACAGGCTTGGCCTATTTGAGTGCTTGAAGAAGACACCGACCTCTCATAGCCAGCCTATGTAAAAGCAAACGGAGCCAAGCTTTCTCACTCATGACTCAGTCATCCATTCATTCGGCTTGTCGACTATATGATAAACATGAAATCCTCTGTTTATTCTCACGTGCGTCCGAAGCCCCAACACACGCCAAAAAAACACTCCGCCCACGTCATCTTTCTCTTCCTTCCCGCCCCCCCCCCCCTCCTTCCCCATTCGAAAGAGAAAGATTTTCCGATTCCATTATTAGACCTATTATACCATCCATCCACCTCTAAACCAAGGTTCTTTTCTTTCTCCTCACACGCTGGGGAAGTAAAAATTATAATTGGTATTTCTGACCTGAGTGAATGAGATGTGGGTGCGTGTACGTTATACAGTGACGTCATAAGTCAAGAATCATCCTCACTTGTTCCTTTGGCAAAAATTGGCCTCCTGGACAAACAACGTGGGAGCCTATGTCCTCCTTTTTTTTCCCTTTTTAAATCCCATTCCCGGTCACCGACCCCTTTAAGATAACATGCCGATAATGAATGCATTCATAGACCACGCGAAGGGAATTCAACGCAGTGAAATGGCATCGTCTGCCGGACAAATGTGCCGCTGATGTCACTTGTATTTCCGGATTTCTTATCATGCGAGACGATCGTTTCGTGTCGACATGTGACAGACCTGGTTGTGTTGACAAGTGGTGGGGGAACTAAACAAACAAAACATACTTAATTTAATGTATGGTATCAAGGTGATATCACGGGAAGATCGGACTGACTAACCCATACCAATCTTGCTGACCTCCTTACCCACGTTGCTCATGGACACTTGTTTTGCATCGGGAGTCAAGGATTATAGAGACCAAGGTCACAGCGATTTGCTCTGAGCCTGGTCATTGCATGGCGAGAATGGAGGCAACCGAATTTGAAAGACGAGATAAGGTTTTTACTTTATTAATTTGTGTCTGTGTGGCGTCTGAGAGAGAGAGAAAGAGAAGGGGGAGAAAGATGGAGTATGACGTCTATGAAGAGAGTGACGTCAAGGACTGTACATGCCAAGCCACAGCTAAAGCGAATCGATTTTTGTTGGCAGAAACGTTGTTACCTTTTTTTTCTTTCTTTTCATTTCCCATTCCTGAGGATCTGTCCGCCCGAGGCCGTGCATGGCGCCAGTTCAGCCTCATCATGAGAAACGGTCTCACTTTATTTCTGGAATATTCTGGTTTCTTTTTCTTTTCTTAATGCTTTGATAGGCCTTGATGTGCCACGCTTGCCCCCAGGGAAAGACGCGCTCGTCCCCTGGTCACACACTCGGTAAGGGAGGTACTTCGTAGCAAGGCCGAAGAGAAGGTAGATGCCCTGAAATATCCCATTCAATTCAATTCAAATGTAAAAAGTTGGGAGAGATATGAACCATATGAAAAAAAGGCCAGCTTCCACCTGTCGACTTCCACAGGATTCTCCTCTTGAATTAATCGCTTGAAGCCAAATTGCTCAACGGACCGGACAACAGCAAACAAAGAGGGGGGAAAAGTTCTTTCTGAGTCACAGAATGGCATGAGTTTTGGCTTCGGGGAATCAGGAGACGACCTTCAGACGAGGTAGATTGCCCATCGCCCTGTCTCTGCTTCCGAGAATAGCAGCCACTGGCGCAGTGATGCCCAACGCCGATTTCTCGGAGATCATCTGACTTGAATGAGCTGACAGGAATTCCATCCACGCAACTGATTTTTTTTTCCTTCTCGCCAGTTTGAGGGTTGACGACGAAGCCATATAATAGTTGAGAAGATTTTCAAAGGAGAGAAAGTAAAGGGGGAAAAAAAGAGGGGGGTAGGGGCGGAAGAGGAGAAAGCGAGAAAAAGGGCTGTCCGGAGAGACACAGACGGGGTGGGATCGATCGTACTCAATGACCCTTCCCCCCCCATCCTTTCCTGCCTATGCCCCTTTCGCCATTCACCTCTCCCTCCTCCCTCCATTCCGCGGAGGGCTCCCCCCGTCCCGTGTGGATGCGGGCAGTCACCTTCACGGTTGTTGGTGTTAGGGCTGCCAACTCGGAAATACGAAAGTTTGGATTCTGGGGGAGGTCCGGGACGCATGTCGGAGACCTTTGTTCCACGGGGAGGTGGAACTGCGACCCTGAAAACGGTCAAAGCCGCCTGGAAATGAAAATCACGAGAACATGTTTTGATAGGTTTGCACTCGTGTTCCTCTTTGTCCGCTTGGTTTCCATCCTTATTGTGAGCTACTCAGGGAAAAAAATGTAGGAAACATTTTCCCCCGATGCCAAATAGGGAACATTGGTCACATGTGACGCCAAATCCAATTGGCAGTGCCAACTCTTGAGTGGATAACTTGCCGTGCCATCAGTGAAGCGCGATATGTATTACAAGAATACGGTAACTCACTAAACAGACCCTGGGTTCTTGTTCTATTAGCCGCTAACGGGCTTTTAGTCCCCTAACCAGAAAGTCCGTTAGCGGCTAAAAGGAAGTGCAAGAACCCATTCGAAGCATTTAAGTGGACGAGTGGACGACGCGGCAAATATGCACGCACCGGGAGGGGAACTCATTCCGTGCAACTCGCATAGTTGGCCCCATTCTTAGTCGTTCGTTTCAACCCGGATGCTAATTTCGGACCTTCGTCATTATGGAGTCGAATTCCAGGATATGTCATTTTCACACATTTTCAGGGCAGTCTCGGAAAATGCGGACCGTTGACGACCGGCCCTGTGTTCCTTTCACATTTTTCCTTCCGTTGAA